GCACCGTTTGTCACTGGTAACAGAAAATATAAATACCATGTGCATTTTAATGAATAACCAAATGTTCTTACAGTATATTCACTCAGAGGTAACTTTTCTAAAATGTTTAATGATCATTTTAACAAGTCGCAGAATGTATTATGCTGCTTCTGAACTGAAAATAAATGTTCTTGTGTGTATTGTAGTATTCATTCCTATATTTTCAGCCATTCAAAGCTAGTTTAATGTCACTAACTGGACTTAAAACGTGAAAAGAGCACCTTTAAAATATGCAAATGATTTCGTTTTATGTAGCCTGTAATAATTGTTGTGTACTTTACATGTTTCCATATTTTCACTTACATTTTTCAGCTCTTACAAATTTCCAGTAAATAATTCTGTCATACATCTGTCAATATTTGTTCTTATAATATTTTCACTTTTCACTATTTTCTTTGACTTTGCTTTTGTAAAATAAATTAAACTGTTATCCAGGTAAAGAAATAAAATTTGAAATAGGGTGAGTTTTCCTTTCCTTCAAAACGTCAAAACACTGAAACCATGATATCTTTCACACACACTATTTCTGACAGCAGCAGATCTGTTTGGCACACTGGCTTCGGAAAATAAAATAACTTTGTGAATATTAAAGGGATATTTTCCTGGCTCGTTACTTGAGTTTGGCGGCAGCAACGTGAAACTGCAGCGAGGGCATCTTGTAATGAGGCACTTGGCTTCATCCATCCATTAACAATCACTTTTTGGTGCCAGGCATTAGCGCTGCCTGTGTTTACAAGCTGTGACCTCCTCTGAATACATTCACTGGGATAAGAAATAAAGAGGATTTTTAGCAAACTATAAAACACAAAATGATCTTAAATGTTGCTGATGAATGTTGAGAGCGTTTAAGTGCGAATTATTTCTTTCTTTCGTTTTTTTCTGCTTGGTTTGGTGGGATAGTCTATACCAATAATCATATTTTACATCAATTAAGTGGCTGTTTTGGACAAAAAAGTTGAGAATATAACTACAAAAAAAAAAGCCTACATGAAGTAACGCGTAATGAGAAGTAACAAGTACTTATACCCGACTTATGTCATCCAAAAACGCATCCAAAATGTAGGGACGCACAAGTTTACGCACAAGTTTACGCACAAGGAACGTATTTTGTCTGGAAGTTAAAACATCCATTTAACAAAATAAGGAAGTTGTCATTTATTTTTACTTGTCTAAACAAAACTATTGCGCAATTTAGGCAAGTTTTGGTCCGTTTTAAACACTGTAGTTGCTATAGGTAACTGTTACGGAATTATTTCTATACATCTGCTGCCCATGTCCAACTACGAAGTCCAATTATAAAGTTCACCAAAATGGAAAAAACAGAAAGAGCAAAAATATAGCCAAGGCTTTTAATAAAATCTTTAAAATAATAATGTTAACTATTTTTAGTGAAGCGAGTGGTCTAGCATATGCAATTTAAATCGTGTTGGTATAGACTCAGAAGGCCTGGGGCGCGCTTAATGACGCACCTTCATCTGCTTTGAAATCTACTGAAGTAAATTTGAAACGTTCACAATAAAAAGGATTAATTAATTCCGTTTTTACGCAGTGGAAAGTCCGGTGCACGTCGCTAAGTGCTGACAGCAGCCGATGGCAACGTGGAAATTGCTGCGCTTTGGAAAACATAATCATGGGAGCAAATCATCTTGGCTGCAACGCGCACGCCCCTCTTTCTATATTAATAATAAAGAAACCTAATCTGAGGCGGAGAGATGTTTAATTTATTATTATGTAAGCCATTTGAAGGGTGATTGTATAGTAATTGCTCATTAGTCGTGTATATTTATCGCTGCACCTTATGTCAAGGCCAAGGGAATAGTCTCTCGTTTCAAGGGATCACTTTCAGAAGCAATTTGGGAGACAGGGCAGGATCAAGTTAGGCCTGACGTTACGCCCTGTGACAGACCAGGCCCGGGACGTGGATGGCGCGGTCGACAGGTGCCACCCCCTCCCAAAAAGAACCTGCGTGGAGGCCCTAAACAACGTGTGTGTAAGCGGATAGGTGGACGCGTGCACGCTCGGGTCTACCTTTACGCACATTATGTTGACAAACTATCCAAAGCCGGTCTCTCAAAATAGCCACTTCTAACCAACTTAAGAGATCCCCCTTCGATCAATTATTGACTTTAGACGCGCTGATACGAGGCCCGTGTTGCTTCCTTTCCCATCTCCCTCCCTGGGCCGCCTATCCACATTAGCGGTGTCAGCGGACGTAATTATAGCTACTAATTGCAGATTAGAGGTTTTGGGTCAGTGAGGTCACTTGATAGGAGCTCCTACTCTTTTCAGTCATGGATAATCATTTCACGACGTCGCGAGCTAAATGTTTAATGCGAAACGTGTCCAAAAGGGTGCCCAAATATTTCAGACAATGTGGAATAGGGCTAGTAATTGTATCATCCCATTTGAGCAGCCGTAATCTTGGTGAGGTAGACACGGTGTGATATTGAACTGATTCCTCGCCTTTTCATGTCGTGCACTCCGAGGTAATAAGAAGGTGCAAAGCGTTTCAAGCAACAAAGACGTAATGGTGAGGTAAATTTATGTTATGTTAATGTTAGAACAGAGCTTTTCATTTTTACGCACGACATTTTAGCTTGATTTTATTTTTTCTAACAATAACCCCCGGGTCAGGCCTATTTCTACATAAAAATGGTAATATTGGAACTAAGTGTTTTAGAAGTTCAGCACAATTACTTTGGGGAGTGCTTTATAAAGCCTGTGTTTGCTATTTTTACGCAAACGAGTTGAAGTCATAAATATCAATTTTCACAAAACAGTTATGTCAGAACAGCCTGAGATCAGAAGGCATAAGATACACAGGCCTATAATATTTAGTTAACGTATAATAAATGCATTATTTTTATAATGTGGCATCTAGTTCTGAAATATTTGGAACCATGGACACGGTGAGAATAATTATAGAAATATTGTCCAGATTATTATAAGGCGCGCGCCTCTGGTTAAAACCACTTAAAATATGTTGCCATGGCAACAGTGGGTTTTAAGTCTATTTATTTTTTGTTTGTTAGATAAAAATAATAGACTCCGCGGCACCTTTGTGAAAAAGACCCCAACATGTAAATTTGTCAAAAGGATATTATTGTGTCTAATATCAAACATCTGAGCTGAATGCACTGCGCTCCGCTAATGAGCTTTTGCGTCTCCTGTGCGTCCATGGAGTGCGCCAAATTTGTTTTTGCGGCGGATCAAGGCTCGCCGCCTCCACTGCACTTTTCTTTATCTTAATGCCGACTTGAAAAGATATAATTATCTGGTTTGAACAGGACTGCTATCAAATCCTTCTTTGGAGGCAGGCTGGGGAACAGCTCGAGTGGATTGTGAGGCTCCGTGTTGCCCGAGATAGGAGTAATGAAGTTGTGGAGTCCGGAGATACAAAGGGCATTAACCTCATTAGCATGAAACCTTTTCTTCTGACTATTGTGGGACCCTTTCAGGCCTCTAATCCCCCCGTTTCAAAGCTGGGGCTGTAATAAAGCTTTTAGGTTTTTTCAAAGCTAATGGTATTCTCTAAAGATTTTATTGCAGTTATAATCTATGGGCCGATTAAAATTCCCCATTTGCCCAAACCTCAAAAAACAGCTTTTTAAAACAATTAAACCAACACGTGCACCTCCAGCCACAAAGCACAGACTCATGGCCTCGTGCAGTGTAATAATAAAAATATAATCCAGTTCAAATGTGTGATTTAAAATGCTGCCGCTTTGTTTGCTGTAAATAACATCCTTTCGGTTGGGCCAGAGCCGCTCCAGTCCAGAGCAAGACAAGATTTGAAACAAAGATCCCATTTTGCGGCGCGCTGCAACCTTCCCTTATCGCGTCGCGAGGGGTAGTCAGATTGTACTAAATTATGTCCAAGCGAGCCCCTTGGATCCGTGGATTAAGAGATTAAAGAGGACCACTGGGCAGTACACATTAGCCGCATGATAATTGCCCAAACTGATTTGCACTTTCACAAAAGCGCGGGGGCTCTTTGTACAGAGCGCACAGACACACTGCTCAGACTGACACTGCACTGGGACAGGGATATGGAACAGGGCTGATCCAGGACCAGGGCTGTACCAGTGCGCACCAGGCATCTCTGCGCCAAAACCAAAGCACCTGAAGCGCAGCACCTCGTGCTTCACCTGCGAAGCGCACGAGGCGCGTAAACCAAGTGGCACTTGCTCAGTGCCAACTCTCCTCTGTCTCATTTATCCCGCTGACCGCCCCTGACCCTCAGTGCAAACGAAAACAAACAGGTCCTAATTTACAACACATCGTATCTTCACAAACTTGAATCAAATATGATGAACTCTTGTTATTTTTTGCGAACTTGTATTTTGTGCTTGTTCGTTACAATATGTTTTTGTGCGTAAAGGTAAATGTTGGCCTAATTAAAAAAAATAAAAAAATAAAATAAATGGAAATCAAAGGTCTAAACGTCTACTGCGCGCAACATATTGATAAAACTTTATTGACAAAATATTGACAATTACATACTTCTTGGAAGTATACTTTGTGTTAAAATTGTAGCAAACTTAACACAAACACAAAAATTATGTACATTCTGTAAAAGAGGCTTGTTCGTTTCTGTACATGGAATACGCTCAGTGCTTGAAGTTTGTCTGGTTTAAGTCCTTCGTTCGTGGCAACTTTCACTGTTCGGGTCACGTCCTGGCGTGAGCGCGTGAGGCCGCAGCGCCACATTGGTAAAGCTTTGAGAGAAAGGATGTCCTGTACCTTCCCTTTGATTCAGTGGCTCTCCCAGAACTGTTTTGTCTTTTTAAAACACTATAACGCAGCACCGCTACTGTTCACATCACTTTTACACGAGAATTAAAGACTGCACACTTTGTAAAAAGAAGCACGACATCTCTCAGGTGGAAAATGAGTTCAAAAGAAAATGGACCTGTTTTCTTCTTTGTGTGTCAAATTAAAAATAACTATCAGGGAGAAAAATAGACCATGCAGTTCAAGTTTTACAAAAGCAGTTGTTTTGGTTTTGTTTATAAAATATCTGAAGTGCAAACGTCCGGAGTGAAGTGGGGTAGTTTTAGTGGGGCGTTTGTCGGTTCAGGTCCTGGCCCGTGGAGCGCCCCCTCAGCTGCCGCAGATCTGAAATGTGACATTGGCTTGTGTTACCCCTCAGTGTCCCGTGTCCAGTCTCTGTGCCCGGGCTTCGTGATTTCAATCGTCCGATGTGACGTCTATTTCCTCGGGGCTCGACTGCTTGGTGGCCAGCCTCCATCGATTTATGTGATGCGAGCCTTTCTTTTTCTGCTGCGATTCTGAGCCCTCCTCCTCCAGCTTCTGCCGCTTGAACTTCGTCCTTCGGTTCTGAAACCAAACTTTTACCTGGAAAAAAATAGAGAGGGACAGCGAAGTGGATCAGTGTCAGAAGATAAACCCACAAGCCGTGCGTAAAAAGGACGCTTTGTTCGGAGCAGGGCGCAGTGACAGACAGACAGCTGAGGAAAATAAAACGGTCAATAGCAACTTGAAACCGGGTTTTATTAGAAGGAATAACAAAGAATAAAAAGCCCTTTATACAGTAAGAATTTGACTCAAGTTTAAGCTTGAGTCGTTCATTTTAAACGCAGGCTTCAAAACATTTGTGCAGCTCATTATTTTTATTGTACTTTGATAATTACGCAAAATTAAAATAAAACTCCTTATAGCCAAAGTGAACGAAAGTAATAAAAATGCATTTATTTTGTCTCATAAACTATAATAAAGCAGATCAGAACATTTGGTAACCACTCAAATGGGAATAAATTATAGCCTTCGTGGCAGCCATTTAACATCAATTGCACGCTCGTCTAAATTGACTCGCTTTGTCCAGTGTTAACTTGCCCTACCGCGGGATATAATGACATCTACATCGATACACAGCCTTTACAGTGTTTAAACGGCGCCAGGACGCGTTTAATTGCGACTAATTGAACGAAGGACGTTTAATTTCTACTCCAGCTCCTCCAAAAAGGCCCAGGCGCGGGACAAAAGACACTACGGCATCCATCAAACAGCGTCTTAAAAATGGCACCATCGCCCCTTTTTCATTCAAGCATTGTGCCTGCCCGTCCAATAATATGGTTAACTAGATAATTTGGACCTCCGTTTTGAAAGCCAACAATCTCCCCTCAAAATAAAGTAATTCAACCCCTCCTGAAATGAGGTTAGGCCTATACAATGACGGTGGATTTAGTCCAACAGAAAGCCTCTGTCTCCCGCTGACATCGTCTATGGCAGATACGGTTAGGGTTAACCCAAAAGCGGGATAGGCATTTTTATGTTACCGTGCAAAAACAGATCAAGATTAATGAGATTATGTGTACCATATTTCCACGGAGCGCGTTACAATAAATAAATAGAACTGCAGGGAGAGAAAAGCCCACGTGAACTTTAGCAGGAAGTGCACGATAATAAGGACCAGTGAATGACCTAACCCTAAACTTTCGACCTTTCAGATGTGCCTGCAGCAGAGCACAGCACAGGCCTCTATAATCCAACACCAGTTTATGCCAAGCGGCCACACGGGGTTACAATAATAATTACCTTTATTTCACTTTTATTATGAAAGGCCATTCATTTAAACTTATTGGCTGTACTTAAACTAAAATACAATCAAACATAAAACACGCTCAGGAGACCACAACCCACGAAACGCCACAAAAACATTTCATAAAACTACAACTTAATTGACAAGGTTGCATCACGTCAAACCCAAAGTCTTAATTGTTTGATAGCCTAATTACATTTTGAGTTCACAAATTAAACCGATTTTAAATGAGAATAAACCCAGTGAATATAAATCAAAACAACACTCTCTAAATCAAATGCACGCTTAAATTGTTTTTGTAAATTTACAGTCGAAGGTGACATTATGCATTAGTCATTTTGAGGCGCACAATTCTTCACTTGGATTCTCAGAGCGTAATGAACCCGCGTGTGCGTAAAATATGCTGTAGCTATTTTACCAGATAAACACAAATGCAGTCGTCTGGATTATTCATCTGTGCCAGTGGCTGGTCATTAAATCGAGTCTGACACTCCGAGCCTGCTACAGCTTGTAAACAATAGTAGTACAAGGGGCCCTGAGCCTCACACACACTTACACCAAAACAATCCAAAAGCAGAAGGAAAGTGCCACCCAATAACGCGAGGAAGACTTTTGACTAAACCATCACCAGTTTAGGACGTGAACGCATCTTACCTGAGTTTCTGTGAGGCTAAGGCTGTGCGCGAGCTGCTTCCTCTCGGCTCCCACCACGTAATGGTTTTTCTCAAAGGCGTGCTCGAGCCTCAGCAGCTGCGATGGGGAGAACGCCGTCCGGATCCGTTTGGGTTTTCTGGCCAGCGCGTTGTGCAAAAGGAAACTCTCTGGACTCGTTTCATTTCCTAGAGAAAGGCATTTAAGCACCTTTTAGAATACGACAGCAAACAAGGCCTCACAACATTGCATTTATTAAAATAGTATTTGCTGTCCTAAAATGCTCAATAAAATGTGCGTAAAGCAGCAAAATCATGACATTTTCACGTTTCTTTATCAAATCTGCAGCGAATAACAGATGTAAACAGCGTGTAAAATCCAAGGCTTAATTAAATTAAATTTAAATTAAGCACAGGTGCATTCACATCATCAGAAAATGTCTTTAAATAAACACCATTCAGTCAAACAGCGCGCCGAGAATGACCCTAATCTCATTATCCTTTCAAATGTCCACTTCAGACTACAGCAGTGCAGCGCGCAGGCACAAATCCAAAGAGTCCTATGCTAAAAATAATCACAACAAGATTTTACTATTTTGCCTCAATTTGACATGAAATAGGCCAAAATAAAATAATATCAACAAATTATTTCATAAACTTTATACAAAAACATTCACACTATTTACATAAAAAAGAACAAAGATGGATTTTTCTACCCGTAATTTGGAAACCACAAATTAAACGCTATTCAACAAAACAAAAAGCAAAATGTTCGATTTATTTCTTTTAATAACTTACAAGTGTTTGGCATTTTTAGCCTAATTGTCTCTAATTCAATTTTAAGTTATTTCAATAACGAATTTCTGAACATCAATATTAAAATAATAATACTTAAAAAAAATTGCCTATTATCTGTGATTTATTTTAAAATTATAATTGAAAAAAGTAATATAATTTACATAAAATGAAAATAAATGTCAATGCCCATAATAAAGGAAAATAATATTGTTATAATATTTTCCGCCTTGTCTCTGCACTTTCAGTGCGTAAAATTGTCCAGACACACTCACCTTGAAACCGATGACCCAAGTATCTGTATCTGTGTAAGAGCCAGGGGTAGAAGGTGGACGGGTCCCGCTGCTGACCGAACAGCGGGTGCGGACTGTGGGAAGAGGACAGCGGGTGAGCGGCCAGCGCGTGCGGTGGGGCCACGGGGTGCACGGGGACAGCCGAGCTGGGCGGATGAGACACCGCCTCGGCAAACACCAAGTCCGGGTTGGAGTAGACGCCTCTGGACGAGGAGTGAAAGCCGTTGAGAAAAGGGTTCATTTGGCCCGTGTTGGTGTAGCTGAGCGCCGCGGGCCGGATGGGCTCCTCGGACCGGGACGCCGGCACCGGACTGTCCTTCGCCACGAGGGACTCTATCGTAAAACACCGCTTGGGTGTTGGCTGGAACATGGTCTGGTGATAGTCCAGGTTCCCCAGTTTAAACTCGAGTCGGAGAGTCGCTCAGAAAATACTCCACAGCGAGAAGAAGAAGAAGAAGCAAAACTTGATGCGCTGAAGTTTGAACCGCGGAGCTGGAGAGAAAAGCCTGGTAAAAGCGCTGCTACTCCCACAGTACATCCATGGACATGTCCTCGCCAGGTTCGCACGGCAGACTTGTTAGTTCATGAGCCTAATTAGCGCTGCAGCCCCATAAACAGCTTCCTCTGAAGACTGTAATGGCATGGTGATTGGTCGCCTCCGCCACTCGCTCGCTGCTGCTCGCCTTGAGGTGGAGAACTGGGAGAGACGCTTAAAAAGTGCGTCAATGGGAAGCAGGGGCGCGGAGAGGCGGACTCGAGCGCGCGACACGGAACGGATTCGTCCAGAGAGGAGCTCCTCGTGCACGGCCGCACACACTCACCCACGAGCACGCGCATACATATCTCCAGGACATTTAACACACTCGTCTGAGCAGCGGGAGCTCCAGGTACACTCCTACTTGGCCTCTTCTCTTTAAAGGTTTAGCTTTAGCTGCGTTAGTGCCGCGCCAAATTACGCACAACGTGGTTTACAAATCGGCTCCATTAAGAGTGTGTTTGGCCCTGTGCGGATTGTATTTAGCGACAATGACCTCCATTTATAGCTGCATTGTTTTGCTACATCAAATGGTTCGTTCATTTCAGCTGAACATGGGCGAATTTACGCATAAAACGAACTCTTACGGAACACTAAATTTAAAATAAGTTGCATTAAACTTTATCACACATTTAGCACTTTAGCATTTTTAAATTATTTGGAGAAATTGCCAAACAAAATTACAGGTTTTGGAGAAGACTTTTGAGGATTAAGGTGTTTAGTGCGATACCTGTGGGTCTGAGCGCGGCCTCTTTACGCACGATCAGAAGGACAGCAGGGCGCACCGCTGGACACGTGTCAAACTCATATAAGCTACGTGAGTCTGTTATTACTAAAGACGTCTGTAAAGCCTCATAACGACGGTGACCACAGAAAAGGTTAAATAGGCCATTAACACCTCGTTTACATTTTATTTGTTTTTAACTGTAGCCTATAAAAGTTATTATAGCGAAGTGGCCAATAAAATACAATGAAATTTCAAAGCACACCGTTTATTAGGCTTTATAATTAATGTGTATGTTGTTATTATATAGTAGTAAAATTACAAAAGGCTATTTAAATGTATACTTAATAAAATACAATGACATTAACATTAATAATAAACAAGTACCATAGTATAATGTGAATAAATAAATAAATATAGGACTAGTACAATGTAAAATCATCTGGTGTGTTTTAACAATCCCCTGCACACATTTAAAAAGACAATAATTTGCTTTTTGTTTATTAAATGGCCAAAGATTAGATTATCAAATTGTATTGTTATCAAATTTGATTGTTTTCATTTTCCTAATTTTGTAAAAGCTTTACTGAGGCGATTAACCCGAACTTTTAGTATTTACAGGACCCACATAATGCGTTTGATTCATTCCAGCGTTACTCTAACTTTATTTACAAACAATAAAACACAATGCAGAACATTAGGCCTGTGTGCTAAATAAAATAGATTTTTTTGCATGTTATTTTAAGTCGTGTTGTTCTGCTCAAACGCCAGAGTGTTAACATCGTTTTGTTGTTTCTTTTTTTACAGTGAAGTGGCAGCGCGCGTGGTCAGAAAACTCCACACGCGCTGCGTCTCACGAGGCCCCAACGTGGACCTCAAGTGACCTCTAGCGGCCACAAGAAGAACAACAAGTCAAACGCATACAATAAAACAAGATTCAACCATTCCCAGATGAGAGACTAATACCAAAAATGTACTCAACTTTTTAGTTTAACAGTTTCACACAGATTAACGGAATTATGTTGGACACATTTTAAGGTACAGTTCTGAATTTAAAAGTACAACCACAAATTACTAGTGCAGGTCTGAAGCTCAACTACTCCAGCTGCTTTAATGAAAGAATAATGTAAAAACCAAGTGAAAGTCTTAAACATGTATTTAACTATGTTAAATACATATCTGTTAGATATGTGGGAGAAGGATTCCATAATGATAAACTGAGTCACGTTACTTGAGGGCCTTTGTTTTTTCATTTATTGATAATTTGGACATTTGCAGTGGCTTAGACCAGGTGCTTTGTTTTTAGTGTTTAGTGTTAACACTTGTCCACAGGGTGCTTTTAAAGAGTCTGTCCAGAAAGCACTAATATTACATTTCATTTGGACCTTATAAAATAGTCTAATAGGAGATCAACATGTAGAAATGGTAGAACAAAGAATACTATTTTCTATATCAGGGGTGGGCACATTTTTTGACTCATGGGCCACAAAGGGTTCTACAATTTGACGAAGGGCCGGACCAGGAGAAGATGGATGGAGTTTTTTGGTGATCCACCTCATAAGAGAAAAAAATAACATGAGATATGTAGAAAACAGACTCCGTGTTATTGAAATATCCCATCATTGAAAATCATTACAACAAAATATCTGTCCTTCAAGTCCCACGGTATTTACCATTTACTGAAATGACTTAAAACACTGAAAATTATTATTGTTCTTCAAGTTTGGCGGGCTTGAGTAAAAAAGATTAAAGGGCTGTAGTTTGCCCACCCCTGTTCTATAAGCTGCACTACACATTGTTAAAGTGTGGAGTCATTCACATTAAACTGGTCCATCTGCCCATTTAAAATCAGAGAAGCCAACAAGTCCATGCAGCTAACTGAAGAAAAAATACTGTAAAAGAGAAAACAAGTGTTTAATAAAAAAGGCAACTACTTATGTACCTTGTAATTACTTTGGCAAAGCGTCGCACAATTGTGTAATCCAACTACACCAGATTTTACTCAAGTTCAGATTTCTAACTATTTGCAAACGGCATTTCTCAGTTTGAAGAATGTGATTTGGCACTTTTGGAAAACTTTATCCATCTAAAACTTGAATGTGTATAAAGATCTCGTTTCATCAAAGACAAAAAAGACAAAGCGACTGAGCAAACAGGTTTTATTTCTTATTAAAGGCTTGATGTGGATGTTGCAGCCACAGATCCACACAAGTGCACACAAATTGATAGATGAAGATTTGAGATTAGCCTCTGTTTAAACTTTAATAAAAGAAACTCCAGGAAAATAGCTACAGTCTACAGATATTTCATTCAAAGAGCAAATGCACAGATATCAGAAGCTGGTAGCCATTTATTCACCTTCGAAAGCTTATGGCGGATGAGATATAGTTTAAAGTTATCATTTGATTGTTAATATTTATCTTATATGTATTAACGGCGTACAGTGGTCCAGCCGTCATCATCGGTTTCATTTTTGGGGGTACGGCGAGGGGCTTCCTTCTCTGTGCGCCAGGCCTTGTCTTCTTCACGGTCTCGCTCTGGAGCTCGTTCTCTGGGACGCTCCCTCTCCTCGCGTTTTTCATCACCACCACCACCACCACGACGCCAAGAACCACCTGAAGAAAAATAGTTACTTCAAAAATGTGTACGAAGTGTATATAAATATCACTTATTTGTAATATCTGTGCTTTTTTTAAAAACAAATTCATATTAAGACCAATTTTGACACAAGGAAATAGAATCAGAACATGAATTATACTAACTTTAAATCTGCAACTAATGATTCATTTTTGTATACTTGGACTGGTCAAACAATTAAATTCATACATAGAAGTTTTAAAAAGGCATTTTAAAAGACATCACCAATCATTTTAACAATTGAGTCACAATTATTCCGATAAAGTACCACAGAAGAGGAAATCATAGCTTTTTTCCTAGTAAAGCATGAGTACTAGATAAGCTGGTGAATGCTGCCACCTGCTGGTTGATCATAGAACATCCACAAATGACTTAAAGGATGCTGTAAAATTAATTTAAAGCGTTGTACAGAATTTTCAAAGTCTAATTTATCCATGTTTGAGTCCGTTGAGTAATTACTTAGGTTAAGGCCTGGAATAGTCGTTTTTTAGACCTGTTTTAGATCTGGTCATACTCAAAGCTTGAAAGTGAAAAATACAGAGTTAACATGATATTAAGAGTCTTCTTCCTCACCATCATCGAGGTCCCGGGGTGGTCCTCTCTGTTCCCTGTCGTCACGGCGGTCCCTGTCTCGCCGTTCTCCACGACGTTCATCTCTGTCTTTGTCACGACGGTCGTCACGGTCACGGCCCATCTCTCTGTCCCCCCGCTCTGGGTCCTCACGACGAGCGTCTCTCCAGCTGCCCCCCTCTTCTCCTCCTCTGCGCCACACACCCTCGTCTCTGCCAACACACAAGGGGCACACGATTAATCACTTCAAGTAAGAAACTACATCATCATGCTTGTTAGAATTGGACTAAACATCTAAACAGGCCTGACAGATTTTTCACCGAAAAAAGCAACAAAGTCTAAGAACAAAATAAAAATAAATCTAGTGATGCAAGCCTCACAAAAATGAGCCTTTAGTTAATGGTAAAAAACTAATAAATGCATTAAAATACATGTTAGTAGATTGCAGATATAATAACATGGGAATAAGGGGAAATACTGGCTTTTCTTCGAACTGGAGGCTTTCAGAGGAAACTATTCTTAAAGTGATGTATCCAAATGATGATTATAATGAATAAAACTGTTTATGGTTCAGACCTGGGGGGGCGTCTGTCTCTGAAGCGGTCAGATCTCTCTTCTCCTTCGTCATCCTCGTCGTCGTCTCGAGCTCCACTGCGAGGAGGGCCCCAGCTCTCCTCTCGGGCCTTCTCACGCTCACGCCAGCCGCCTGCCACAAGAGCAGGAGTCATGAAGTTAAGAATAAGATTAAATGGTAAAAAACTAAATAATAACCTTTCAATTATGATTAAAACACATTCCACGTTGCTTTTAATGTTGTAATTTAAATGCTTCACCAATTTTTCATACATCTCAGCCCTAACCAGATATTTCCAACACTGTAGCAGAGTAGAATTTATTAAGAATTTTATTAAGTAAAAACATTTTTTTTTTTTACTTAGCTAAGAAGTGAGAAACGGCATGTATTTCTGCAGAATTAACAAAAGACTAAATTAACTCTAAACTAAAAAAAAACTAAAAACTAAAAAACTAAAGTCTATGGTAAAATAAGTTATATAAAGTATGCCTCAGAAGTATGTCTAACACTGAAGTTAGAATCCATCTCAAAAGGAGAAAGGAGTTCTGGTCAAGATGTAAAGCAGAACTATACTGTAGCTCCTCCCTTTAGGCAGCTATAAAGGAAGTATCCACCATCATTTTAACCAGAACTGAAGAAGCAGCTTAGATGAGCTGTGAAACGTATTCGACCAAATAAACTTTTGTCCAGCTGACAAATTGAATTTCTCCTTTTGCTATGTCTAACACTGTCTATGTGGAAATAAAGGAGAGGTTCTCTGACCTGGGCGTCCAAGGGGCTTCCATGGTTTGGAGTCGTCTCCTCTGCGGTCCCGTCCCTCATCCAGGCCTCTCCTCGGGGTGCGCTCGTCCCGATCTTCCCCTCCTCGTCTGGGGCCCCAGTCGTCGTCGGCTCCCCGCCTTGGACCTCTGTCGTCCAGGCCTCTGCGCGGGGGTCCATCATCAAAGCCCCTCCTCGGCCCACGGTCTTCATCGAACCCTCTCCTGGGACCGCGGTCATCGTCACCTCCGCGTCTGGGACCACGGTCTAAGGAAGAAATGAGATTATGTTAGTGATGATTAGTATTGATTAAATATTTTCAAATTGCAATTTTTTAACTGATTGTCATTAATCTGCAGGTCTAATTTATAAACTACATATTATGCATGATAAAACCAAGGATTGAATATTTGCAGATGGCATCTTGTAGAGTAACAGTTATTTCCTTAAACTTTTCTGAAAAACTTAAGACAAGAAAATCTTTATTTGTCCCACAATAATCTACTAGAATTTCCCCACTGTGGGTAAGCATAGGGTATTAGGGTAACTAAAGGCAGGGTATAACCATAAAACATGAAAAAGTCTAAAATAAATGTAGTTGTTTCATATGCCCATTAGCATCTAAACTGTACCTCTGTCATCGTCGAATCCTCTCCTGGGCCCGCGGTCCTCGTCCAAGCCTCTGCGCATGGGGCGTTCATCGTCCCCTCCTCTCCGCAGAGGACGGTCATCGTCAAAGCCCCTCCTTCCTCCTCTGTCGTCCCTGCGTGGCCCGTCGCGTCTGAAGGGGCCCTCGCGGTCCTCTCGCTCCTCCTCACGGCCCTCTTGTCTCCAGTCACTACTGAGGAAACAGGACGGTCAGAAACTGCACTCGAGACTTGCGTACACAAATGTCTGTATTCACCTACCCCCTATCTCAACCCACTTCTCTGAATCTTTTGAATAATCTCAAGTAGTATAATCTCAAGGGTTACATGGCATTTCTGAGACCTACATATATGCCCCGTTTTCAGCAATGAAACACAAATGAATATGCACTGCTTGTTACTGTGAGTCTGATATTTCATTATGACCAGGCAGCGCCAATCAACTCTGCAGTTTTGAACAGGAAGTTAATAAACATTTTTCTATTACTAAGTAGTTCATAATTAAAACATAAAAATCTATATATGTTAAAGCTGAATGCTAAATACCCAAGACAAAAGCATATTTATTCTTATAATATGACCAGTGCTGTGCTGTGACTGACCGCTCGGGTACAGGGCGACGCCACTCCGACTCTCTCTCCCCCTCAGCGCGGCCCTCAGTCCTCTTCCTCCAGCCGCCCTCCTTCTCCTCTTTATCGCCCCAGTCCTGAAACAGGAGAGAGAACAGGTCCAAAGATTAAACACTCTTCACAACATTGTCATTAGAGAGGTGAGTGACTAATGATTAACAGCCTTCATTTTGTAGACTGTTATATATTTTAGCTGACTAAAACTAAAAAAAAAACAAAGCCTAAACCATGATTTAAAGTAGAAGCTCTCAGAGTAAAAAGTACTAATATCCATGAATAATAACAAAAAAAAAGAACATAAATTAAAAGGAACATGTGGATGCTGAATACCAAGTTTCCATTTTCAATCCCTGTGCCCCAAATCAGATTATAATCTCAACATACCTTTTAACTTTTTGCAACAGATTTTGATTGTAAAATGATTTTTTTTTTAAATATTATAATTTTCAACACAAAATAATAGCATTTGCTTATTTGCATGTGCTCTTACACTAGTTCTGATGAAGCTCGAGATGAAACTGTTCAGGAAATGTCAAATTTTATCCAGTTGTGATTTTTTTTTCACTGAGCGATACTTGCTTAAATTTGTATTTCGTTTCGATACTGGCCTTAGTATTGATTAGTATCAGCTTTTATAAATTACTTAATAGAAGATAAAACTAAAAGCTAGTTAATCAGTTGTTTCCTTATTCTTAGTCCGCACAGACCTTGGACCTCTCCTCCCTCTCCGGAGCCCTCCTCTCCTCCTCTCTCTTCCGTTCCCTCTCTTCGATCTCCTGTTGTCGGGCTCTCTGCTTCCTCTCCTGCTCCTCCAGTTTCCTCAGACGCTCCTGGTATTCGCGCTCCTCCTCCTCGCGCTGCTCCTGCTCCAAGCGCTCCCTCTCCTCACGCTCTGGAGGGACAAAGAAAACACACATAAGAATCTTCAAGTTTGACTGATTACTTTCACCGTGACCAAAAAACAGGAAAATACTTTATCCTCTGTTCAATAGAATATAAATTATCTAGTAACACCTAGATAAAAAGTCACATAATATTTAAGTTTACATTGTTGAAACTAAAATGTATTTTTTGTTATAAAATTGTCACCATTCCAATTTGTTTTAGTTCTTAAAAAATCTTTCAGTGATCCAAATAGTCACAATTTCAAAACAAAAATCCTTGGTAACCCTAATTCTGCTAAAAAGGTAACAGTTTAATTTCTAAAGACAAAAACAGCGTAGTTTTGTGAGTCTTCTTGACCCTGTAGTCTCACCCTTCTTGAGCTGCTCCTCGTGGATGCGCTGGGCCTCCTCCTCTTTCATGCGGTAGTAGTCGTTGCGTCGGTCGTCTTTGCGTTTCCTCTTTCGTTCTTCCATTCGCTTTTTCCTCTCCTCCACTAAACGAGCCACTGCAGGCAGAACTTGAATGCTGTAAAATAAAAGAAATTATTTTTACCAATAATACAGTTAAGTGAACATCTACACTGTGATCTGCTTGTAAAAATGGAGATTATCATGATAAAAAGATATGTACCACAAACTAATATTGTCTACCCTTTTTATAGCTACAGACCATATTATTATTTATTGTGCCATCACCTACTACCAATTATGATTCCAACTATCAGTTTCCCCACCTTGCTGAGCGATGTCATGGTAGAGGCGTTCCACTTTGGAGTTGTTTCGGAGAAGGTCCAGACACTGACGATACGACTCCCACAAAAACTTCACCCATGGAGTCAAGAGCAGCCGATCTGTACGGTCCTGAGTGTCCTCTCCGCTCACGGCGCTCAGCAGCACACTGGGATCATACAGGTGAAAGAAGGTTAGTGAGATGAACAAATGAAGCTCAAATATTGGTTAAATTATGATGAGGTTAAATGATCAATTCATAGAAAAGAAAATGTACACACATTAAGATAACAAAAATAAACAAGACCACAAGCTCAAGATGATACATGTGATCTAGTGAACATGGATGTCTGAGAGTGGTTGTAAAAATACCAAGCGAATAGTTTCAAAATATTTACAGCAACTAACATGGGTAGGAACAATTTGACACCCATGACACAACAATAAACAAGCGGTGTGCATATTGATGACACAGTATGAAGAAAACACTTGAGTTCACTGTTAAGTTATTTGGAGTAGGAATAAGTAGAATGTTTTCTTTTGGTTATAGACAGCCCATCTTTACCTCTCCGGAGTCTGGATGTTGTCCAGATCCTCGATGTCCAGGACCATCTGCTGAGACTCCTCTTTGGCCGTTTCAGTTTTATCCTCAGCCAGTTTCAAATAGGCCCGAACCACATCCTCCAGGGACTTGATGTTCACCTGAAGACACAGACAAATGTTAGAATTATAAGATTTAAAAGGCTCCATGATCCACCTATACATTTTATAGCATTATATATGTCACCTGCTATAACACCAATTATGTTTTATTAATGAATGAAAGCACAGCCACACATTTACTGTACATTGTAGCATGTTTGAATCTTCTTTTTATGTTTTTTACTTGATAATATCTAAAGAGTTATCATCATCGTGCATGACTAGAAGTTCATATGATCTTCAGATACTGTGACTGTCTCACATCCCCCCACCCCCAATTTCAGAAACTATACTTCAGCCCAGTCAGTCTTGCCTGGACAGCCCTTTCAGAGCTGGGGAATGAATGTGTACCTGCTGACAGATGTTCTTGTACTGGTAGAGACCCTCCTTGGCCAGGTGGCTTTTGCGCAGATCCACACACAGCTCCAGGTATTTGAGCATGATGGGCTCGTGGATCTTCTGCCATGTTCGATGCTTCTTGCTCTTGATGACATCGTAGAGCACATCCAAGGCAGGCTGCTTCTTGCCAACCTCCAGAAATTCTATACAACACAGACAGGAGACAGGAATAGATCAATGCATGTCAACATATAAACACATAGATCACAGACTCATACGCACAGTATTCATACAAGTAAAACGATAACAGATAAAGAGTATACAGGTACTAAATGTACTTCAGGCAGCAGCAGGTGTGTTCTAGTGTGTTGACAGAACGAGGTCATCGATTAACATATGCAACAATGACATACTATCTAACAGAGGACCTTCACTCATTAAAAAGTTGCTAAAAATCATAATAAACGCATTAAAGCACAGAATCAGAAACAGTGTGCTGTTACGTGTATAAATAATATTCGTAAACCCGCACACAAAGGAAGCACAGAGTGTTTCTCGCGTATGTAGGCCCTGTGCAGGGCTGGGAAAGCATGATATTAGCTCCTCTACATCTGAACAACTCTGATCACACAGCAGTTTTAAGGCTCTGACGGCAATGGCACAAACACAGGAGAACAGATTGGACCATCCAGACAACAATCAGAGCACAGGGACCATCGCACAGTGAAATACGTGTTTAATGCATCTTTGGATTACGTTATCTGAAAGAAAGCGACATGTCTCCCCCGCCATTAGCTCCGTTAGCCATTAGCACCGTTAGCTGCTCCATAAGCCTGGGCTAACCGGTTAGCCTGTTAGCATCAGGACTTTAACGTGTAACCGCAGCCTTTTCACTCACCGTTGGCTCGTTTGAGAGCATTCTCAGGCCGCTGAAAATACGCCGGCATCTCGGTGGCTTTCTACAGAAACTCGACTGGCAGAGTTGAAGTAAATCTTTAGATTTTCACCAGTCCATCAAAGCCACGCACGCACGTACAGCAGCGGCGCTGGCGGAAAAAGGACCTGCCTCGTGAGCGGCCCTGCATGGGTTGCCAGATAATAATTATAGCGCCAGATTTCTTAGACAAACTTTATTGATCCACAAGCTGGAGTAAGAAAGCTTGCAAAAATACAGTGTTGGGGAGTAACAGATTACATGTACAGGAGTTACGTAATCAGAGTACAAATTATGAGTAACTGTATTCGGTTACAGTTACTGTTTCAGTGAGTGGTAATTGGTATTTTCCTGTTTTCCTATTTTCGCATTTTGGGCTATATCCCCCCCGCATAAAATAAATATTTGTAAAATCTCAAATGAGTCCAGTCGTACATAAAATATATTGTGTGTATTTTATACATCAGAATACGAATTGAACATACGCAAGGGAAATTATTTGAACACAGCAGCTCACACATCACAATAAAATATAATAATAAAGAGAAAAAATATAAATAGCAATAATAAATTCAAAATAAGTAGCAAAAAGATAGCAAGAGACACGTGCCAAATAAGACATGGCTATAAAAATGTAAAGTACAAGTCACAATAATTATTTCAAAGCTTTACTTTTGTTGTAAGTTGCTGATTAAAGATTTTACTACTTCATCTTACATTACTCTGTTACCTTCGTTCACTTTTACTAAGTTAATCGCACTCGTGAGCAAAAAATACAAAACACAATGAATGCGTTTTATTTCATTTTATTCAAGGGGGATTATGTGCAACCCTGGCAACCCCGTAAATGTTCCGCGAAATTCCTCACTCATATCTGCATGTTTCTGGGAATAAAACTACTAAACTGAGCTGCAGGAAATGTAAAGCAGTTTTCTTTGTTATGTGTAGATTTAATAAGTAATATTACGCGATTTATTATCACTTCACTGCTGCGGCATTAAAGATGTGCTCTGTGGTGATTGGGCAACTTTGTATTTCCCCGCCTTTCCCGGAAGAAGGAAGAAAATTGGCTTTTACTTGGGAAATCTGTTGACAGCAGTTCTTTCAGTTCGCGTATTAACTATTTTTTATACAATCTGCAGCTCCATAAACGTCACGGGGGAAGGTGTGGAGGAGCAGCCGGCCTCGGTGCACCTTTCACGGGCTGTGGTTGTCCCAGAGGAGGCGTGTGTCCATTTTTCCTGTTTCTTGTGAGCTCCACAGGTATGGAACATGGCAGCTACTGAACACCAGCTCATGATAAGCGTCGGACTCATTGGTAAGTACATATTTGTTAATCACGCACTCCTAATTTATTGTTTTGAGTTTTAGCCAGAAGGCCTGAGATGTTGTGGGAGAGGAGGCATCACATGACACCAGCGTGATGCACGAGAAATTAAATGAATGAGCAGAAAAGTAGAACTGTAAAATACATCTGACACTGCCACGAACGTCGCTTTGAAGTCAGTTGTATTAATTAGCAGTTAATTAAAGCGGAAAAATCGATAAATGTGCATGCATTTGAATGATTACCAAGCTTAAACCCACTGTCCTCACTTCACCTTTACAGTCTGAGTGACTACTGTGTCACAACTGTTTGAAATATGAGAGTTCAGTGACAGATCTTTTGTGCAGATTTATGCAGTTTTATTGTTATGTCAGTAACATTAAGGTCAAGGTTAACTTCCCCTGTGGGTAAATTTGTTTTCTCCATTTGACCCATCCTTCAGTGCCATTAAGGGCAGAAGTAGGCAATTATTTTTTCCATGGGGCCACATGAGAGACAGAAAATGTTGTGGAGGGCTGGGCCAAAATGCTTAACTCAATTCTGCACAATAATAATTGTATTTGTTTATAAAAAAGCATTAAATAGCATTGTTTGAACAAGCTGGTCAGAGTGGTAAGAGTTTATGTTATGACTAAGCAATGAAAAAGTGAGGTTGCCTTACAAAAAATGTCATTTAAAAAAAAAAAACGCCCCTTAAAATAAAAGCAATGCAGCTTTAGTCCATGCATGAGGTAAAATGATAAAATATGTTTGTTTTGTAATTCCAAATTAGCTTAAAGGGGTTGGTCAGCAGAGGCGGCGACTTGCAAGTCGTGACTTGGACTCGAGTAAGACTATTCAGTCACTATTTTTAGGACTTGAGACTTGACTTGATGAAATAGACTAAGACTTGGGGCTCGACTTAGACTTGAAGGTCAGTGACTTGGGACTTGACTCAGACTTGCTGCCTGTGACTTATGAAGACCTGAGAAGCACTTTTAAATCTGAATTCTTTTTATTCTGACTGTAATGATTCACTCCAAGATTTTGTCAAGACATTTAAAAAAGGAAAAATTACTAAATTAATTTCTTATATACTCTATAAATACTCATATATAAATATACTATGATTTTTTAGTACAATTTATCTTAAAAGTCATATAAATTGCAGAAATCTAAACTTTATTTTGTACTTTGGTTTAAAGAGACAATGCTCAGGTCTGCATTAGGGCAACCTGTCAGGAGCAGTGGGCAGCTGCTATAAAGTACCTGGGGACCCATATCCACATATTGAGCTGTGCTCTGAATTTTCAATCTTCTCTCAAATGTCGATTCTCCTGAGAGTATTAAAAGGTGCACTTTGTATTTTAAAATATATATTGCAAATCTAATTGGTAAACTTCCATTAAAAGCAGTACAGACTCATGTCAGATGTATTTGGTTGTGTTCAGACCTTAACCAATCCTCTGTTAAATAGTCTCATGTATTTTATTTTATAACTCATTTGTCCACTGTTTGCCGAGCAGAGAAAGATGTGAATGGGGACACACTGTGGGTTTGGTGTTACCCGTCGGTGGACTCTGAGCTGAGGCAGGTGCTGCTGTCTAAATGCTGCCTGTCCCGAAACACAAAAGACTTCCACACTTTTGTTTTTGGTCAATTCAAACGCACCTGGTATTATATCAGCACTGTGGAGGTACAAGAGCCCACTGCGCTCAAAAAGGTAAACATTTGAGTCATTTTTACATTGGATAGGCTTCAGAAATTATAGCACTAATGCTATTTGTTTCCATGTATATTTTTTCCTCCTCAAGGTCACTCATTTTTCCATCGTAGTTACTGCAAAAGATTTTAATCCAGAGAAGTATGCAGCTCTCAGTAGGATACTATGCAGGTAATGTTGTTTTATTGATTATGGCTCAACAGTGCAATGATTATGTGTTATGTTAAAATGAAATGTAAATATTGTAAGGCAGATATAATGGGTAATATTGAGTAAGAATTAAGATGTGTTCCCTCTAGCACTCTTGTATTTATTATTCAAAATCATACAAGGGCTATATTAGTGTGAAATCATTGTTAAATTAAACAATATAAAACAAGCAAGAAACTGTCACTGTCAGGACTGAGTGATGAATCAAAATTTAGTCTAATCGAGATCCAGTCATTTAAAATCATCAGTGATAAGCTGAGCATGTTTTAATCTACAGCAATTCCAGTAAAAGCTTGTAGTTTGGAGCCAAATTCAGATTTTGAAGGGATACATTTGGCTTTTTTTGTGTTTAGGATATTGATTTAAAAGTCTGCCTGAATGACAATAAGAAGCCATATTCATTAGCTTTTAATAAAATAGAAAGCCATTTTAATAAGATGATTAATTGGTCTCTCTTGTGCTCTTATGCAGTATAATACAGTACATTAATACAGTATGAGGCTGCAATAATTAATCAACTAATAGTAAAGTTGAAAAGACCTTTTTGTAACAGAGACAGTGACATTACTAAAAGAATACACAATTTTCATCAATAATACACTTTACCTACCTCCAGTCACAATATTTCAACCTGAATTTGATTAAAAATGTGTTTTAAGAGTCTCAAAGTACAATAGATATGATCATTTAACTGGTCGACTAATTGAAAAATGAATCACATACTAGTCAGCTACTAAAAGTATAATTCATTGCAGGTGCATAAAAGCGACTTACCATTTCTTATTTTTGACTTTCCTTTCAGGACATATGTAAAATACGGCAGCCCGGTGAAAATGCTGGAGGCGTACATCACCGTCTTCACCAAAGGCGTCTGTCAGAGCGATGAGAACGGATCCTTCCTCATTAAGGACTATGACGTGAGGAAAGCATATTTAGCTGGTTCTATTAAAGGTACGACATTCACTAACAATGGAATAATACTGACAATAATACTGACACTTGTCCTGTGAGGAGATCAAATGCATGTTTCTACTTTGTTCCAGATATTGTAGCACAGTTTGGGATGGAGACTATTATCCTGTACACAGCGTTAATGCTAAAAAAGAGAATAGTTGTACATCACCCTCGAATTGAAGCACTGTTAGAGTTTACTAGGTAAGAACAGACAAACAATATTCATTTATTTATTTAAAACGGTGAATTAAAACAGCTTTTAATCACCTTTTATGTCTGTAGAGTTCTTCCAGCATTAGCCTGGCACAGAAAAGACTGGTCCATTTTATATCCCAATGTGCATCTGACAGATATTGAACTAGAAGATTTAAGTAAATGTTCAGGTTTGTATTTTATTTAAAGGTGAAGTATATAACTTTTTCTGGTGGAGGGGTGTGCTACCTGCTTGTCTTCATGGAGATGTTATTGCTTTGAGTGAAATATTCCTTCATGGAGCCACATGTTCTTGCAGCGTGTCTGTGTCTTTGCGCAGTGTATTGATGTCTTCAGTATACCGAGAGAGCACGGCATTCATACTGTCCAAGCACTTTTCAAATTTTTTATGCCAAGCCTCAGATTTTTCCTCGGCCTCTTTGAAATATTTTGCCTTAGTTTCTTTTTCTTGATTTGACCAGGCCATGCTCTCCAGGCCAAGATCTTTGTTGAGCTTGTTGCTTGACTAAACATAGGCACATAAACTCATAACCTTGATCTTCCTTGCTCATCCATAAAAGCAGACTTTGATGGGATTAGAGGAGGGAGGACGAGCGTGGCTGTCCATGCAGTCGCCATGACACCGGAAGTTCATTCCACTTCATGGAGATAAGCCTGTGATGCTACCAGGCCAACGTATAGGTCATATCTGTGGAAAGGCAAATCCATTCATAGTTAAAATCTGTAAATGATTAGATGCAAGATAGATGCTTGTCTTCATGGAGATAAATGACATTATTGCCATACTGTGGAACATTCAAGGACAAACATTAACATCTCCATGGAGACAAGCAGCTGGTGGACTCTTCAGTATAGTCTATGGACTTTGATGGTTTGAAATCTGCTCCCTGCAGGGTATGTGGCAGGTTTTGTGGACCCAGAGGTGAGCAACAGAGGAGACCTGTTTGACGTCTATGTGAATCTACCAGACAGCGTCATCACAGTATCTCCAAGTGCAAAAGGTAAACACAATATGAGTAAACACGTATAAAAACAGTCCAATGAGGTTAATTTGGTCTTCCGATACTTTATATTATTAGGTTCTTTTTTCAGACCAAGAGTTTGTTTTCAGACCTGACAGTTTCGACTGCTCTTCCTCAGACGGCGCTGTCATCCTGCCTCCTCTAGTAGGACCACAGCGCCAAAATCTGTATAAATCACAGGCTTCCCACGGTCATGGAAATTGTGGAAAAGTCTTGGAAATTGAAAATGTCGTTTTCCAGGCCTTGCAATGTCATGGAATTTTAGTATCTCTTTCAAACAACTTCAGCATTCTGTTAAGTTCTCATTAGGCTATTATGATTATTTCTGAACATCTGCGCCTTTTGCTTAAAATAGACAACAATAAATGCACTGACAGCATTTTGAATTGTTAAAAAAACTATAATACCAAAGAGTGGAAAGGGTTAACATTTCATATTTAGCCCTAAAAGTCTGATCACTTCTACACATGTAGGCTGCTGTAAAGTCATGGAAAATTCACTTTAGATCATGAAATGTCATGGAAAAGTTTGAGTGGAAACCCTGAAATCAGCTGATCGGACACATCACAGCAACATCACGTGACCACTCTAAACTGTATGAAAACAAACTCTTGGTCTGAAAAAAGAACTTAATAACATAATGTATAAAAACAGTTGTCTTTTACAAATTAGGGTTGTCAAAAATATCAATACTCAGATACTAATAGAGATAAATATGTATGAAAACTAGATACTCAAGAATCAATACTGAGAAAAATAGGACAAAATTGGACCTTCCCTGAATTGTTCTAGAGTGGTTTTAGAAGACCACATGGTGATACTAAAGAAAATACAATAATTTTTGTATTTATTTTTTTCATTCATAAAGCATAAAAAGACATCGACAGTGTCACAACAGACACACAAGAAATGAATGAAAAGGAGCAGAAAGAAGAAAAATCTTATGTTGTCTGCCCCCCTTTCCTTTTTCAAGACATACATTAACACCGATAGTTACTTTGTGTTGTAATTTGTAATTTGTGTTGTGTAGTTATTTTGTGTTGATAGTGACCTTATATTTCGAAAAAGAGTGCTTATATTGCTGTATTACTGTTAGAGTTTGAATGTAATTTTAGTACTGAGACAACTTTAAAATGTATAATCTTGTTGTGGCAGAGTCTATGTCTATGGGAAAGTTGCACAAAGAGATTGGTCTCCTTATTCTCCAGTCGGCGGAGGATGCAGAGAAAGTCAGACAGTCAAGTTATAAAGGTAAGATCTCACCTCTGACCAACACAGTTAGTTCCCTTTGAATGATCCCAGATGGGGGCAATAGCCAGTTTTTCCTATTTACTACAGTTTATAACTCAGTATATTACAAGACAAATCTGCATTTTAACCGTATATATTTTAGCTGATTCCCATGCACAGGGTTCTCACTCTTTTTCACTGACAAAATTTAAAAACTTTTCCATGACTTAAGTGAATTTTCCATAACTTTACGGCACCCTGCATCTATAGAATTGATCATACTTTTAGGGCTAAATATTAAATGTTAACCCTTTCCACTCACCTTATGGTTTGCTATTATAGTTTTTAACATTCAAAATAGTGTCAGTGCATTTATTGTCGTCTCTTTTAAACAAAATGCTCAAATGTTCGGAAATAATGTTAATATCCTAATGATAACTTAACAAAACGCTGTAGTTGTGTGAGAGATACTAAAATTCTGTGACTTTTTAAAAACTTTCATTGATTTTACAGAATTCCATGACTTTTTCAGGCCTGATATTTTCAATTTTCTATGACTTTTTCAGGATTTCCAGCATGCATTTTAAGTATTATTGACCTATTTACTGTTGCAATGTCATCTGACTCCCAGCCTCTCATTCTCTTATGATGAAACGCCCAAATGCCGCCTGATTTTGTTGTCATTTCCCGTTTTCACATAAACGGGTGAAATTAAAACTCTTCAAGCTCCACATGTTGATTTCGTCGTTTCATGTTTCTTCCAGGACATTTCAGTGAAGACTAAGGAGCTTGTTACAAACCTGGTGGCCCTGGCTGAGCAGTGTGAGGACTCCAAACTCACTTTAGAGAGTTTAAAACAGCACCATTTTCCCCCAGCCACCGAAAACTTCCTCTTTCATTTGGCAGCGGCCGAACAACTTTTACGAATATGAAACTCCTGTGTAACAATGGCTGAGACGTTTCTAACTATTGCTGTTCTGCCTTTTTATCACTGCAAACAAAATAGGACACTCTTTTTTTATATATATTTGCAGCAAGTTTGTACTAATAAGGTAGTGTTTTTATTAATACTGTTTCTTAAGATGGTACAGTACAATTTAACAAGCCCATATTACGCTATTTTCTGATCTATGTTATAATGTTGTTTCCTCATCACAAACATAGTCAGAGTTGTATGACATCACAAGGTGGAACAGGGCATTTTGAGCTTTGGAGATGTACAGACTAATAATAAAGGGTTACTCAAACGTGTGAATGAAACAAAACACAACTCCAGGTCTGTTTTAGAAGAGGTAACAACATTATAACATGGTTTAAAGGTCACATGAGTCATTTCTGAGTACTTTAAAGAAAATGTGAAAAGTTTATTTAAATTTAACTGGAGTTTTGGAGATGGTCCAATCTGGTTTTCACATTTCTTTTCCATATTCATGCCATATTTTCTCTGCTTCAAACATTAATAGGTGCTACGATGTCGCTCATGTCAGTGCATTCTTACGGTTACATTGGAAGAGGAGATGCCTTTGTGAATTCTAAAATGTTTTTGGTGCCAACACTGGTGGCGTTTTTTTCCACTGTGAAGTAAAAGTACATGTTCAAAGTGAAACGAATATGTGGCGTGCACTTAAGGGCAGTGACATTGCACAATATGTGGCTTTATTACTTTAACATTTGTATTTTACTAATCACACTTTACTCCAGTTTCTCAAGTACGGTGGTGGATTTGAGCATTGAGATTTGTTTTCTTAAAAATATACAGTTTATCATTATAATTCAAATGCAAAATATACATCAAATTACAAAACTGATTGACATGTTTCTGTTCTAAAATTCCACGTGGTCTGATGTTTTTTTTCTTTGTTGCCACAATGATAGATGTTGCCTCAGTATTCCAGATTAGGATGCAGCATACATAGAAAAATTTAAATGTGAAAGTAGCTAAATGTATTTTCATAAATTCATTTGATAATTCTATTAATAAATACATCTACAAATCACTGTATTAAAATATTTTTCATCCCCACATACAGCTCTTCTAGTGTTAGGGATTACCAGGACTTCATTATATTAAACAGTTTATAGCCTATAAAAATATAAACCATCCAATTATGATTAAATGGTTTTAAAATTTGGTTTAGTGATGCTCCAGTAGTTGTGTCACTCCTTAAAAAATTGCTGAATCAGATATTGTCTTCCAAATATAGGTTCTGGTTGGGCAGATACTTTGATGTAACACGACTATTTATTGGTCATCGATCATCCAGGGTGACCAGACGGGACAGTATTTACCCGGGATAGTCCCAGTTTTGAGCCCAGTGTCCCCTGTAATTGCAAATTTATCCAAAACCATTGATTTGTCCCAGTTTTATACAAGAAACGTCCCAGGTGTCCCTATTTTGACCAATGTGATCCCTGCCAATAGTAAAGAGAAACATAATTTGTCATTTCTTTAGGTAAAATACAGAAAAGCTGCTTAAAAATGACCAAAACACAAAGAAAATATGACTGTAATGACTCACATTAGTACCGAGAGCAGAGCAATTTTTCATAATTACGCACTTGTTTCACAATTTTATTATTACCAACAAACCCAAACCAGGAATGTCCACATTTTTTATTTTGAAAATCTGGTCACTCTATCATAGTTGGCCCTCATAATGTTTGAACTTTTATTTGCACAAAGTTCAGTAGTTATTTATCCTTCAAATCAGAGAAGGAGACTTGCAAGTCGTGACTTGGACATGAGTCAGACTTGAGTCACTATTTTTAGGACTTGAGACTTGATTTGATAAAATGGACTAAGACTTTGGGACTCGACTTGGACTTGAAGATCAATGACTTGGGACTTGACTCGGACTTGAGGCCTGTGATATGAGAAGACTTGAGAAGCACTTTTAAATGTGAATTCTTTCTATTCTGACTGTAATGATTCACACTAAGATCTTGTCCAGACATTTAAAAAGGAAAAAACTAAATTAATTCCTACAACTCTTGAATGCTCTATAAATACTCATATATAAATATACCATGACTTTTTAAGTTTAGTTTAGTTTAAAATTCATATAAATTGTAAAAATCTAAGCTGTATTTGGTACTTTGGTTTAAAGACTTGAAATGACTTGAAGCTCAAAGCAGACGACTTGGACTTGACTTGGCCTTATGGGCCAGTGACTCGAGACTCGAGGTGGACTTGCCTGTATTTGACTTGGGGCTTGATTCAGGCTTGAGATCAAAGACTTGAGACTTGCAAAACAAAGACTTGGTCCCACCTCTGCTTCAAGTAACAGCTACAGAACACATTTGAATGAATTAATTTTGTTAAAATGGTTTCTAATTTCAGTCTCTGCACTAGTATCGGTTGATATCAGGCATTGTCAGATACTTAAAGCAGTAGTAGTATCGGAATTTGAATCATTTCTTACAAAGGTTGGGTAGGTACATCCGTAATTTGGTAGATTCTGTATTTATTTTATTATAAGATTTGAAAAATACAGGAAAAACAATGTCAGTTTTCGTGGATTTAGTTTTTACTTTATGATCCATTTGTACTGTATGTTAATCTGTATATAGACATGATCCAGTGAGTTTCTTTTCCTTTATAGTCCTCTGTGGTAGTACAAGTGTCCGTCCGGCACTGCGGCCTGTAGCTCCTCCTCCAAGTTTTCCTTCTTTATCTGTGAATCAGAGCCAGGGTCACTCCAGGGTCATCATAATGAAAAGGTCAAAGGTTATGGTGCATGTTACCGTTCCCAGCTGCGGAAATAGACTGAAGGACACCGGGATCATGAGTCCGAGCAGAAACACCACGCCGAAGGGACGGAGCGGAGCAAGAAGCAGCGGACGAGTCTTGAAAAATTTAGTTCTGGAAAATAAACATTGAATACATTGTTTTTATTTTGAAGAGGTATCGTTTATAATACCCAGAAAGAAAAAATAAAGTTCATGGCAATGTATATTATATAGTATATTACTAATGTATATAATTTTGCATCATTATATCATCATTCCCCTCATCTTAACAACAGCAATCTCAGGCTTCAGAACGATAAATAAGGACCATTACTATAGCTCTTAAATTAAAACAAAATACAGTACACCTTTCAAATGGGAAAAAATCCTAAACGTTACATATAACAGAAAGCTAAAACCAATAAACTATAACCATCTACATTTCTACATCTAGACGTTCTGATTAACCTTTGCAAACTGTTCATTTCTTAACAGTATGGTTCAGGTTAATTTTGACCTGGACCAGAATTCCCTCTCAGTAAGTGTCTGTACCAAATTTTTCACGGCAGATCTATTTAAAGTATCTAAATCAACTATCCCACATTAATAAATGTATGCAATATATAAATATAATGTTTCAAAGAGCAGGAAGACCATATTTTTCATATTTTTTTGTTCTTCTTTTACATGTATGAGAAAACGGTGGTGTTCTGACTCAAAGCAAAATTAGAAGAAAAGACCTCTCTTCCACCATAAACAGGACGATCACTCCTTTCACTGTTTTGAGATTTCCCTTTTTGTGCCTTCAAAAACCAACAGGTGTCGGTCTGTCTCTGGGAACCTGGGGCATGGGGGAATCTCAGAACAGTGACCTCTTGAACTCTGTCACCACTGTCACATAAAAATACACACATCTGTACAGTTTCACAGTTTCAAGATTCCCTACAACTTCTATTTTCCTTCATTTGATCCGCACTGACAGAGCTTAAGTCCATCTCAACAGGGTTAGACCCGAACCAGCCTCAGTGACCAAAAATTTGTTGCACTTGTACAAAAGTATAAAATTAGAAAATATAAAAAAATGTTGTGTGTTTTGGGAAAATTTAGGAAAAATCATCAAATTTCAGGATAAAAGAGTGATGCTTAGTGTATTTTTACTACTGTTGAATAGGGCTGGGTATCATTAAGAAGTTGCCGATACGATACATTGGCCACGATACGATACATATCTCGATACAGTGCACTTTTGGTTCGATGCGATATATTTCAAATCGATTTAATACGGTACAATAAAAAATAAAGGCTAAATCGCGTCTGTGATACTAAAAGTCTTTATTAAACCACTTCTTGTGCAAAGTGAATATGAAACACAAACATTTTAATCATCAAAACACTGTAAATGTCGAATGTGTTGCATAAACGAGTTCCTTTCCTCTAAACAAACAACAAAACAAACAACAAAACTGTAGCGCTGTAACAAATAAATAATAGTAAAATATACCAAAAAATACTCTTGGCGATATATCGATACTGTATCATCACATATTTTTGCACACCCCTACTGTTGAACGTCAAAACTACTACACTAATACAGGCAACTAAACAAAACAGAACAATTAAAAAGTGTATGGTAATTACAAATACATTAATTGAATTACCAATTTCTTACTGAACACACTTACAGTCCATTGATATTGATGGTCCATTTTTAGAAACATTTGATTATTAAAGACTTTAGAGATACTATATATAATGTTTGTGACTTACCTTTGTAGAAGTGAAGCTATAAGGCTTGGACCAGCAGCAGTTGTACCAATGAGAGCAGCTCTGGACAAAGCAGTTTCCCTCACAGCCTGACAGAAACAAATATTGCCAAATCTTTAATATCCGCAGATACTTTCATACATTTCCGGCCTAAAGAATCCCAAAACAGTGGCTGCGGTTACAGGTAAAATCAGATTATTTTCAAATTAAATCAAATCAAATGTATTTGTATAGCACATTTAAAACAGCCAAAGGTTACCAAAGTGCTGAACAGTGAAATAAAACATACAATAGACAAATCAATAAGACTAATAATAAAAAATAATAATAACAGCAAGGTGTCAAGGTGTCTCTTCCCAATTCTGAGCAAATGCCTGGGAGAAAAGCTGCAGTTTGAGTGAGGATTTTAAAGCGCTCCAGTGAATGTGCAGTTCTGACTATGCTGATGTTGGAACTAAAATCTGATTCAAATGACACAGAAACAGCAAATTCATCTGTTTTTCTTCTGATCATGGCCCCTCTGATTACCCGCATCAGACTGTATGGTTTACGAGTCATTTACATCATCTTAAAAAGGTCCAGAAATCATAATAATCACATTTTATTATGGATGTTAACAAAACCAGTGTCACCTTCTCTGCTGCTGCTTTGGACAGTCCCACTGAATTCCCCTCTGAGTCAAACACCTGGATCCCGTTTTCAGTCTCCTCACTTCGGACAGTGGATAAATTCAAGAAAGCCAAAGTTGCTAAAGAAAAAACAAAATGGTATTAACAAATCATCATATTTTTATTGAGCAGAGCAGCGGTGGAAAGACGAGAATACTGAAAATGTATGAATATTCTCAAATATATGTCCTGCTGCTAAAAACAACTTAACTATCCTTAAAAAGTCATCATAAAGAAATGGATAACAGACTGAACAAACTGTCAGTGGAAAAAACCATGCTTGCTCCTTTAAGGTTATAAAGTACTAGTTACTTTTAATCTAATTTTAGTCAATTTAGATGCAATAAGTGTCTAGATGACCACCTCTGAAACCTTTTCTACATTACATTGTACTAGAATTACACTCAATTACAAGTAAAGTATTAGAAATCTACATTAAAAAAGTATAATTATCCCCAAAATCCGCCATATAGTAACGAGAGTATTTCAGATTTATATAGAAGAGATCATTTACCTGCGAGAGGGACTGGTAAAACTGTCCGACAGAAACTCTGCACTGAAACGCTCCTCACTCTAAGACGGTTGATAATGATTTGAGGAAGAGTCTATGACAAGAATAATCACATTTAGTGTAATTTAATCTACATGACCTTACTTTTTAGATGCAAAAGCATGTAAAATACACCAACCCCAGCGCAGGTCGCATAAGAAACTGTCCCAACATTTAACAAAAGCTGCTTTAAGGATATTTTCTTTTCCTGGGGATAAATACATACACAATATTAATACACAAATACAAGCAAAATGATGCAGATAAGGATTGAAATATTTGATGAAAACAGGTTGTCTCTGTGTCAAATATTAAATTAAGGGTGGAATTGCTGTTAAACTGTCAGATTGCTTTTTATATTTACCTTCTCTGATGAGGCGTTTCTGTTTGAGAAGTTGAACGCAGTGAAGTAACTCTGCAGCAAAAACTAAAGGAAAAACAAAATATTATAACACAGATGATTATGTTTGATCACAGTGGGGAATATTAGCACAAGTGGGTAGAACTCAGTTACATTTACGTAAGAAATGATACTTTTCTGGCAGCATACTTTTACTCCTACATGAGTCATATTTTTATTGAAGTAAAAGTACTCTTAGTTTGCTTAAAAGTTTTGTTTACTCTTTCCACTATGAGTAAATCTACAAGTGACAAAAGCTTTAATATTAAATGATTTGAACATTTGTGTTTCTTGCACCGTTCAGACATGATGCAGTTTTTATTTTTGTTTCATTTAATGCACAAATCCCAGACTTTGTGCATTATTTAACCTCAGGATATTACATGTATTACCTGACAGAGAAGAGCAGATTTGACTGTGTTATGGGGCAAAAACGCAGCATAAACCTGTAAATGACAAATACATTATAATATCTTCAAAATAAAAATTAAATGTCAAAATAAAAGGAGGGTGACCACGTACTATGGGAGCTGATATTGGCAACAAGGCTGTAAGGAAAATATGACAGAAATCATTGTCTTATACAGTTTATAAATACCAGGTGAATTTAAAGTGTTAAAGTACAAACCTGGTGGACGGAAAATTATTGGAAGAACCTCACCGGTGTCTGCATGGACTGACGACTGCAAACACAAAAATTATATTGCAATTAAAGATGCTACCTGACTTTTAATACTTGATGATTATCCTATTTTTGACTTATAAGAGATGTAAACAGCTTATTTTTTCTGATCACGGTAACTCACATCACATTTTGTAATTTGCATGTGATTTAAATCATTTTAAAGCTTCAGAAACCAGATAATTTTCAGATTTTGCTGTACATGTGAGCAAAGGCAATGAAGGTTAAATTTGTTTTTGCTGAAGTTCAAACCACAAACACATGAGCACAGTGGCACCTATACTATCTATTTAAAAGCTTAACTGATATTTGGGATAGATCATGACAAAATACATTAATTCATAACATATTTGCTTTATTAATGCTTAATATAGGGTTATTATGTCATGCTTTTATGACTTACAAGAGCAAGTGTGGCAGCTGTGGTCGTATCCTGTGGATCAGAACAAATAAAGTGAATAAACATTTGGAATTATAGGGTCCATTGCCATTATTTTCATTTAAATCTTACCTTTTCACTAGGTTTTTCTCCACTCCCAAGAACAAAGTGGGCCTTCTGGATTTCAGCCTGTTGACAACATACAGTATATTAGTACCAATAAATAGTGTATTGTATTGTTGTCTAATAGGGTGCTGTAATATCCCTAAGTTTATATTTATTGTGGGGGTCTGTCATATGTTAGTCTCAAAAAGATTCTGTTTAGCTGTGCATATGACTGAAAGGTTTTCAGTTGTCATTCTGCACTCTTCTCTCTTATTTAATGTTTCTCTCTTTCTTTTTAATTTCATGATATTTATTGATGTCTTGATTTGTCTGTATTTTTAATGTATTTCTTATTCTCTAAAGCACTTTGAATTACTTTGAACAAATTGTGCTGTACAAATAAACGTGCCTTGCCTTTTGCCTTTGCCTGAGATGTTCCACAGTTTGGCAACAAATATATAAAAATGAAATCCATAGAAGAAACCTGTGACTTGGTCTGGTGCTTGTCTCCATAGAAATAACTTTAATGTCATATTGTGGAACATCCCAAGCCAAGCAAAAAGTCGTGTCCACATGACATCTCAATATTCAGTTTAAAATCGAGCTGGAGGACAGGTCAGAATGGTTGGTTAAATTTGCCGTGTACCTGTCAGATTGCAGATTTGTTGGCCAAATGGTTAATATCTCTGTAATTACATGAAACATAAACTGGCACCACGTTCATATAAATCCCTGTATCATTCATTCATTCATTTTTCAAAATAAAACCAAAAATAAGAAAACGAAAAAACAACTATTTTCTTCTTTATTTGTCTCCAAAACCAAAATGAAAAAACAGATGTCGATTCATGTGTCTAATCTTTAAGGGTCAGTGCACACTCCTCTGCTCAGTCTGATGTGGCATCACTTTTTCTTTCTGTTGTTTCAGGCTGAAGACGGTCCGTGCTCAGTGTCCTCTGTGAGGACTCAAAACTCTACAGTTGCAGTTTTTAACAATAAATTGTAGATATTGTTCAATAAACTGTTGGTGCTGTTGCTTTATTTCACGTTACACACAGTTTGTTCTCTCAAAATATGTCAAATATCAAATTGGCCAAAATCATCTCAAGTCTATATGAGACTCACACTCGTATGTGCAGATCATTTAGGCTGACAAGCAGCATTTAAGTATTTTCTATTTGCACGATTAAAGAACTGCTGCAATATACTCATGTTTATCAGGCAGCTTAGGTATTTTTCACTGAAAATGAATGTGCTGCATCCAAACATGATCCTATGATCATAAAACAGCCTGTGTATTGATAAAGACTTAAAGCCTGAAGTGTTTGTGCTGTTCATAGACTGTGCAAGTAAATATTGTTCTTTCTGCTCTGTGTGAAGCACACACTTTATTCTCATGTCTGTGAGACGTTCACAGAGACACTGACACTGTCAGGAAAATTAAACCTATGAAATTTATAAAGGTTTATATTATTGAGCTGAGGCTTTATAAACCTCTAAAATGCACTGGCATATGACAAACCGCACAGTCTCTTCAAAACTTTCCTGAGGGGAGCATGCATGCATGCATGGATGGATGATGGATGGATGGATGGATGGATAGATAGAGAGATAGAGAGATAGATAGATAGATAGATAGATAGATAGATAGATAGATAGATAGATAGTTCTGCGTTAGATAGACAGAGCAGCGTTTCCCACAGAGAACTGTCAAGGCGGTGCTGCTGAAAAAGTGAGGAGGGAGATTCTTTGCACGGAGAAGTGAGGAGCGGAGGGCGCGGAGATTCCGCGATGACCGGAGTTTTGCAGGAGTCACGTGGTTCGGAGGAACGTACTCAAGGCGACGCTTTAACTATAAAGAGCTACGGGAAACACTGGACAGATACATAGACAGATACCTTGGGATAGTTGTCATGGTGATTCTCGCAAGGTGGGCGTGGTCACGTGAGCACAGATGTATGCTGGGTTCTTTAAAAATGGCGCTCACCTGCACAGGTAAGGGACCTGTCACCTGATGACGTGGCACCGAGGAGTCGAGCCAACTCGTTTTGTTTGTCGACAGTTTCACTAAAGTCACTCTTGATGTCACTTCAAACTCTGCTTTATGTCAGAGGAAGCTCCTCTCACGGCAGCGCGCCGTTTTTAGCAACAAAGAAAGAAAAGGCGGAGCGGAAGCGCAGGACCCGCGCAATTCAGAAAAACGCGCCAAAACTGCAGCGAGACTCGGATCATCATCAGCACGACAAACAGCACCGAGGAGTCCAGGTGAGTCTTACGAGTCCAGGTGAGTCTTACGAGTCCAGGTGAGTCTTACGAGTCCAGGTGAGTCTTACGAGTCCAGGTGAGTCTTACGAGTCCAGGTGAGTCTTGTTTGTGGATACGGAATCATTATTGCAATAATAAATTGCTGTTTGTTTGTAAATGTTTGATGAATGAAGCTGCTGCTGCGTATTTTACTCCGCGCTCTGATTCACGTTTCTGTAATGTGCAAAGTGAACTGAAATAAATAAAGCGATGATGTGATGAGTTTCAAATGATGCTTTTGTTGAAAGGAAATCTATTTCACTCTGTGGATGTGTTTTAAATGATGGCTCACTAAAAAAGGTGGATTATAAAAGGCAACATGACGGTGCGGCCTTGTGTCCTGAAACTGTCTGGTAAAAGGAAACTTACACAAAGGCCTTTTATGAAAACAAATGCAAAAGATTGTATCTGTAAAATGAAGGAAATTGTGCCACAAACGAAAATCATGACACAAAAGCAAAACGTGTCTCAAATGAAATCTCTAGGTATTTTGATGTGTGAAAATGTCATTTATCACAAAGGGTGAAACTGTGGGGGGGAAAATGTTTTTCAAATGTAAACAAATTGCAATGAAAAGGTTTAAACATGTGCACCAAGCTTGGCTCAATGAACTGGAACACAATGCCTCAGAATTATATGAAATGAATGGTACATTTGTGGGAATTAAATGATCACTTTCCAAACATGGATGATATAAGGATGGTACAGGACCTGCCATAAAATACTCAAACATGCGAATTTAAACAAGTACAATACAAAAAGTATTCATCAAAGGTTTCAAATGGGATGAAAACCTACTTAAAAATAAAAATCTCTCATCTGTCCTGGAAATATAAAACCGTACGCAAATGCATCCAACTGTACAATGGTCATGATGTAACCCTCAAGTCCTAAAACATCTATTCTTTCTTTTTATTCTTTACCTCGTGTCTTCTCAAAACAAGATCTGAATGCTGAGGATTTGAATGGCTGAGATTTGGGCCTAAACTGGTTCAAATGTGTCATATTCTACACACACACTTTAATGGAGACTGTGTGGTCTCTGTTGGGTTGATCTGGTCTAAATGTGGACTAGATTTTAATGTTTAATTTCTACAGGTGGCACTTGGTTTTGGGTCCTTGTATTGCGTTTTCATGCGGGTTTGGGGTGATGGGTAATAGTAAAACTGAAACAAGTGCATGATTAAGGAAAATTGTGATGCAATCAGACCGCCTTGCTGGAAGAGTTTACCTGAACTCTGTGTTTTGGGTTGAATGTCCGTCAACTTTCTCCCAAAGATCCAAAGGTGAATATAAAAGAGTTTTGCTGAAATACACTAGTAGTTTGTAATTTTGTTTCTAACTTTTCCTTTGTGTTTGCAGGTTTGGGTGGTGTTCTTTAACCCTTCTATAGGTATCAGTTTATTATTATTATTTATATTATGATCATTGTTAATTAGTTCATAGTTAATTTAAGATAAATCTACTTCATGTCTTGCAACTGTGAGATATGAAAATCATCTGCGGCAATTGTAGCAGATGTTAGTTTATTTTGTGAAAACAGCTAAAGCTAAAACATGTCTGCCATATGTTACTGACAAACCCTGGAGTTTTCAGGTTTTAGGTTGGTGTCTAACCCTTTTACAGCAGCTCTGTGATATCTACTACTGATAAATAAGCTAAAGAGTGCTTCTGACCAGTGGAAAAATGAACCTTTGTCTCCATCTGAAGTCAAAAAGGATCCAAGAACTAAGAAGAAGAATGGAAAATCTTATAGCAGAGGCTCTGCTCCAAAATCTGGACTGAATGAAAGATTTGATCCAGAGCATCTTGCTGGAAGAGTTTACCTAAACTCTATGTTTTGGGTTGGGTTGGGCTTCAGTCAGCTTTCCCCAAAAACCCAAAGGTGAATTTAAAACTGTTTTGCTGAAATACACTACTTTTTTGTAATTTTGTTTCTAACTTTTCCTTTGTGTTTGCAGGTTTGGGTGATGTCCTCTAACCCTTCTACAGGTGTCAATGTATGAGTATCACTGTTAATTAGTTCATAGTTAATCTAAGCTAAATCTACTTCATGTCTTGCAACTGTGAGATATGAAAATCATCTGCGGCAATTGTAGCAGATGTTAGTTTATTTTGTGAAAACAGCTAAAGCTAAAACATGTCTGCCATATGTTACTGACTAACCCTGGAGTTTTCAGGTTTTAGGTTGGTGTCTAACCCTTTTACAGCAGCTCTGTGATATCTACTACTGCTATAGAAGCTAAAGAGTGCTTCTGACCAGTGAAAAATGAACATTTGGCTCCATCTGATGTTAAAAAGGACCCAAGAACTAAGAAGAAGAATGGAAAATCTTTTATCAGAGGCTATGCTCTGATATAAAATATAGAATGAAAGAATTGATCCAGAGCACCTTGCTGGAAGAGTTTACCTAAACTCTGTGTTTTGGGTTGGGTTGGGTTGGGCTTCAGTCAGCTTTCCACCAAAGACCCAAAGGTGAATTTAAAACTGTTTTGTTGAAATACACTAGTATTTTTTTATTTTGTTTCTAACTTTTCCTTTGTGTTTGCAGGTTTGGGTGGTGTTCTTTAACCCTTCCACAGGTGTCACTTTTATTATTATCATCATTGTTAATTAGTTTATAGTTAATTTAAGCTAAATCTACTTCATGTCTTGCAACTGTGAGACATGAAAATCATCTGCGACACCTGTAGCAGATGTTAGTTTATTTTAATTGAAAACCGCTAAAGCTAAAACATGTCTGCCATATGTTACTGACTAACCCTGGAGTTTTCAGGTTT